TTTTTTCGTGAGAAGGACTCTTAAACGCCGACAAACGTCAACAAATAGCGAAAACTATAATTTCTATATGTTTGCTTTGCTCGAAATCGCGCGCATTTACAAGGCCCTAAAGCGTTTTGCTGACTTGCAAGGACCCATCTGTTATAACGATGCCCAAAATAAAGAGATGAATCTCATAGTTTATTAGATATAATCCGTGTAAAGTTTGCTTATCATTTTCGCATAAATTATGACCTAAATTTGGAAACCGCTGAATTTCTCGAATTGGGTCTTTGCGATTTTGGTGAAACTCTGTTCAGCGCAAGGCACTAATGCGCACTATGTGTAGCCGAGAGATTTTCACGAAAAAATGCCGGCAACAGCAGATTTTCGACTCAGACCTCAAAGGGGCGTGGCATTATAACCACGTGACATTTACTCCGATCGCCAAAAATTTTATGTTATATTATAGATTGATCTATATGTTATCCATTCTCTGTGTTATACTTGCGGTAAAAGTAAAGGTGGGGAAACCAGAGAGCTTCAAAGTAGGATGGTACCCCTCCAAAAAAACTGGGTCTAGTCACCTTAAAGATAACAAAATTGTGCGGTGAACTAAACTGCACTACAGCAAAGTACTGCCCAGTATTTTTAAGATTTCATCCACAGAAACGTCTTGCTACAATACACTAAACAGAACTACAGGGGAAAAGCGAAGGAAAGCGCGAAGCACACGTGGAGCGCGAGACACGCGGGATGGAGGAGGGCGCGCCTTCAACCGTCATGCGTGTCTCTCGCTCCACGCCCTCTAAGTGCTCTCTGAAAAACGCAAAAAATAGCGCTTGTTCTGCAGGCTACCAAAAACTTTCGCAATAACAGACGATCTGGCCTTCTACGCAGGCGCGAACTTCCAAAAAAACAAACAAACAAATGGCCTCAATGCAAGAACAATACTAATAACCGCTTTGGTTGTTCATTCTACTGGGGAGATTATGTTTACTTTCATAAATCAATTTACTTGCTACAGGTGGTTTGTAACCGTGAGGGATACTCCTCGTAATGGCTGATGGGGGTATGTCACTCGCTACTCCAACTCCTGACCCTATTTCAGACCAGACATACTATTTTCCACACCCATTTTTAGACATGCCCTCTAAGGCGCAGTTTGCATGGAGATAAGAAAACCTTAGCAGCAAGAAGATCCTAGAAGGCGGATCATCCCAGCGCCACATGTTTTAGTTCAGTATGTAGTTGTCCCTAGTGCTAGGATCTTCCTAGCTGAGAGGTTGGAAGATCCTTTCACGAGAAAGATCCTAACACCACGTAAACTGCTTTCGCTTGGATTAGATCCTTGTATTAGGGACAAACCGGACAACAATAGCGACGGGTTATTCAGTGGTAATCAAGGCAATAAAGGCCGACAGTTACATTTGGCGTTACGACGAACTGATTATTGTGATTTTTCTAACCTCGAAACCAGTTCTATTCCCAACATACAGTATCAAACCACAAGATAGAGTTCAAAGTGCCCAGAAAAGAAGCGAGTAATTGACACTCAATTGCTCAGGGTTCGAAAGCGAGTCAAATACATCCGGATGACACGACCGGGATCGCGAGAAAGAGGAGGCGAAATTTCTTTTCAGCATCCCACGAAGAAGAGAACCAGCAGTTTCTACAGTTTTTGCTGAAAGGTAGTTATTAGCGCTAAATAAGGGAGCAAGTCGAAGAGCCCAAATTGTCATCTGCTATTGTCGACCGCCATCTTTTCTTCACTCTCTATTTGGTGCTGTTTATTATGCTGTACAAGGTGGTCCTACTTTTCCGCTTATTTGTGAAGTCACAAAGTGTGACCACTCAAACCAAAGCCACCATGGAGTAGTTTACTAAGGTACTCTTTATTATGCTGTAGAAGTTGGTTCTAACTGTTAAGTCTTTGGACAAAATTTGAAAGTGTGACCATTCAGATGAACGCTACTGAGAACTTGGGGGAATACTTTCCTGCAATGATGTTTATTACCCTGTACGAGCATGACCTAACTTTTAAGTAATCAGCTCTTATAATGTCTTCTTTACAAGTTGTCGAAAAGTAAGCCACTAACACCATGACAATCCTCGCCTCGTGCACAGACTTCCTTTTGGTTCGTCACTCAATCCTCTCTGATTGTGTGACGAGCCAAAGGAAAGTCTGTGCACGAGGCTATAACAGTCGTACTCACGACTGCACTCAACCACGTGATCGTAAGCAACATCTTTCTAACATGATTACTGGATTTAAAAAGATTAACAATCTTAAGGTCATGTATAAATTTAAAAAATGTTAGGCCATTTAGTTGCTGGCTTAGTACCTGTTTTCTAACAGTGTACAGAACAGAATTTAGAGCTGTCTGTGCTTATGTTTTTCAAATTAGCTTTTAAATAAGGAACCTAGGAGTTAAAGACAATGATTTCCAAATTAATTTTTAAAATTCCTAATCCCTAGAGTTTTCTAGTTTGCTATCTCCTTCGTGTTGGTTGAGATTTCTTCTTGTTTCTTAGAGAGTCCTCAAGTTGAGCTTGCATTTGATCAGTAGAAACTCCTTGTATCATTTGGGGCACTTGCTGAAGAACAGGAATAACCTGGAATAAAAATGATACAATCACGTGATATGCGGTATTACCGATATCAAATTATACTCAGGATATCTACTGATGTTTGACCTCCAATTTGGTACCAAGTTTTGATAAAATTATCGATTCATAAACGTAATAAGTTGAATTGCTTTACGTGTTCTTGTCTCGGGGGTAGGGGGATGGGGAAATAAAAAACACAACTGTTCAGTGTGCAGTGTTCTAGCGTAAAATCAGTTATAAAAACATGGCGCCTGACTGCGCGGTCTACGAACTTTTGTGGATGTCTCGAAATCTAAAACAGATGTGTTTGAATCGGCGATAGACCCCAAAATGAGAAAAAATAAAATAAAATAATCATACAAAGGAAAGGAAAAAAGGGAAATCTTTGGCAGTGTGACCGGGGTATGGTAAAAAATAGAATCGGAGCATACGTCAATAATATCATACCTTGTTATGATTCACCACTAGTAAAATGAGAACGACAAGCAGGGGTAAGGTGAGGAAAGATCCTTGGGAGGGTTCCGGTTCAGCTTTACGTGGCTGAGGAAAAAAAAGGATCAATTTTAGAAACATTTTTTAATTCCCAAAAGGCTCAAAACCTAACTTGAGCATACTACTGGAAACAGTAAGGGTAAAGCATCTGTTTGATGCTAGGACATTACAACGGGTTATAAATGCCTTAGTGTTTAGCAAGTTATACTACTGTTCTCCGGTGTGGTCTAATACTTCAAAGAAAAATATCTCGAAGCTGCAGAAAGTTCAGAATTTTGCTTGTAGAATTATCACTGGAAAGAAAAAAATGCCGGCAACAGCAGATTTTCGACTCAGACCTCAAAGGGGCGTGGCATTATAACCACGTGACATTTACTCCGATCGCCAAAAATTTTATGTTATATTATAGATTGATCTATATGTTATCCATTCTCTGTGTTATACTTGCGGTAAAAGTAAAGGTGGGGAAACCAGAGAGCTTCAAAGTAGGATGGTACCCCTCCAAAAAAACTGGGTCTAGTCACCTTAAAGATAACAAAATTGTGCGGTGAACTAAACTGCACTACAGCAAAGTACTGCCCAGTATTTTTAAGATTTCATCCACAGAAACGTCTTGCTACAATACACTAAACAGAACTACAGGGGAAAAGCGAAGGAAAGCGCGAAGCACACGTGGAGCGCGAGACACGCGGGATGGAGGAGGGCGCGCCTTCAACCGTCATGCGTGTCTCTCGCTCCACGCCCTCTAAGTGCTCTCTGAAAAACGCTAAAAATAGCGCTTGTTCTGCAGGCAATCAAAAACTTTCACAATAACTGACGATCTGGCCTTCTACGCAGGCGCGAACTTCCAAAAAAACAAACAAACAAATGGCCTCAATGCAAGAACAATACTAATAACCGCTTTGGTTGTTCATTCTACTGGGGAGATTATGTTTACTTTCATAAATCAATTTACTTGCTACAGGTGGTTTGTAACCGTGAGGGATACTCCTCGTAATGGCTGATGGGGGTATGTCACTCGCTACTCCAACTCCTGACCCTATTTCAGACCAGACATACTATTTTCCACACCCATTTTTAGACATGCCCTCTAAGGCGCAGTTTGCATGGAGATAAGAAAACCTTAGCAGCAAGAAGATCCTAGAAGGCGGATCATCCCAGCGCCACATGTTTTAGTTCAGTATGTAGTTGTCCCTAGTGCTAGGATCTTCCTAGCTGAGAGGTTGGAAGATCCTTTCACGAGAAAGATCCTAACACCACGTAAACTGCTTTCGCTTGGATTAGATCCTTGTATTAGGGACAAACCGGACAACAATAGCGACGGGTTATTCAGTGGTAATCAAGGCAATAAAGGCCGACAGTTACATTTGGCGTTACGACGAACTGATTATTGTGATTTTTCTAACCTCGAAACCAGTTCTATTCCCAACATACAGTATCAAACCACAAGATAGAGTTCAAAGTGCCCAGAAAAGAAGCGAGTAATTGACACTCAATTGCTCAGGGTTCGAAAGCGAGTCAAATACATCCGGATGACACGACCGGGATCGCGAGAAAGAGGAGGCGAAATTTCTTTTCAGCATCCCACGAAGAAGAGAACCAGCAGTTTCTACAGTTTTTGCTGAAAGGTAGTTATTAGCGCTAAATAAGGGAGCAAGTCGAAGAGCCCAAATTGTCATCTGCTATTGTCGACCGCCATCTTTTCTTCACTCTCTATTTGGTGCTGTTTATTATGCTGTACAAGGTGGTCCTACTTTTCCGCTTATTTGTGAAGTCACAAAGTGTGACCACTCAAACCAAAGCCACCATGGAGTAGTTTACTAAGGTACTCTTTATTATGCTGTAGAAGTTGGTTCTAACTGTTAAGTCTTTGGACAAAATTTGAAAGTGTGACCATTCAGATGAACGCTACTGAGAACTTGGGGGAATACTTTCCTGCAATGATGTTTATTACCCTGTACGAGCATGACCTAACTTTTAAGTAATCAGCTCTTATAATGTCTTCTTTACAAGTTGTCGAAAAGTAAGCCACTAACACCATGACAATCCTCGCCTCGTGCACAGACTTCCTTTTGGTTCGTCACTCAATCCTCTCTGATTGTGTGACGAGCCAAAGGAAAGTCTGTGCACGAGGCTATAACAGTCGTACTCACGACTGCACTCAACCACGTGATCGTAAGCAACATCTTTCTAACATGATTACTGGATTTAAAAAGATTAACAATCTTAAGGTCATGTATAAATTTAAAAAATGTTAGGCCATTTAGTTGCTGGCTTAGTACCTGTTTTCTAACAGTGTACAGAACAGAATTTAGAGCTGTCTGTGCTTATGTTTTTCAAATTAGCTTTTAAATAAGGAACCTAGGAGTTAAAGACAATGATTTCCAAATTAATTTTTAAAATTCCTAATCCCTAGAGTTTTCTAGTTTGCTATCTCCTTCGTGTTGGTTGAGATTTCTTCTTGTTTCTTAGAGAGTCCTCAAGTTGAGCTTGCATTTGATCAGTAGAAACTCCTTGTATCATTTGGGGCACTTGCTGAAGAACAGGAATAACCTGGAATAAAAATGATACAATCACGTGATATGCGGTATTACCGATATCAAATTATACTCAGGATATCTACTGATGTTTGACCTCCAATTTGGTACCAAGTTTTGATAAAATTATCGATTCATAAACGTAATAAGTTGAATTGCTTTACGTGTTCTTGTCTCGGGGGTAGGGGGATGGGGAAATAAAAAACACAACTGTTCAGTGTGCAGTGTTCTAGCGTAAAATCAGTTATAAAAACATGGCGCCTGACTGCGCGGTCTACGAACTTTTGTGGATGTCTCGAAATCTAAAACAGATGTGTTTGAATCGGCGATAGACCCCAAAATGAGAAAAAATAAAATAAAATAATCATACAAAGGAAAGGAAAAAAGGGAAATCTTTGGCAGTGTGACCGGGGTATGGTAAAAAATAGAATCGGAGCATACGTCAATAATATCATACCTTGTTATGATTCACCACTAGTAAAATGAGAACGACAAGCAGGGGTAAGGTGAGGAAAGATCCTTGGGAGGGTTCCGGTTCAGCTTTACGTGGCTGAGGAAAAAAAAGGATCAATTTTAGAAACATTTTTTAATTCCCAAAAGGCTCAAAACCTAACTTGAGCATACTACTGGAAACAGTAAGGGTAAAGCATCTGTTTGATGCTAGGACATTACAACGGGTTATAAATGCCTTAGTGTTTAGCAAGTTATACTACTGTTCTCCGGTGTGGTCTAATACTTCAAAGAAAAATATCTCGAAGCTGCAGAAAGTTCAGAATTTTGCTTGTAGAATTATCACTGGAAAGCGGAAATTTGATCATATAACACCGGCATTAAGAGAGCTAAGGTGGCTCCCCGTGACCAGTTTTCTTAAATATACACTTGGAGTTTTAGCATTTAAATGTGTTAAGGGGTTAGCCCCTAGCTACCTTTGTCATAGATTTAAGACACGTGATTGCGTTCATGACCGTAATACTAGATATAAGAATAACTTGAATATCCCAGCTTATAAGTCAGCTTTTGGGCAACGCACATTTTTATACCGTGCAACGAGTTTCTGGAATTCTCTTCCATGTGAAATAAGAGGATGTGATAATTTGCCAATCTTCAAGAGACATTTAAAGGAATTTCTCAGTAGTTTTTAATTAGTAATGTGATATATTTTAGCATCTATTAGAATTTTAGATTTTTAATTTTAATGTATTTTGTACTGATTGTAATTAGTTTTTAAAACCCATTTAGTGGAAAACTAATAAACACATTCACATTCATTAACAGTCGTCGAAGAGAACACTATCAATAAAGGCAAGCTGCCTACGTGGACCCCAAATTCCATTGTACCATTTTAACAAATACCACTTGAATAAGTACGTCCAAGAAAGGCCGAACTCGCACAGTTAACCGCAGCAGGATTAGCTCAGTCGGTAGATCGTTTGACTGCAGAGCATGAGGTTGCGGGCTCGATTCCCGTGGTCGAACCAAAACTAACGGTCTTGAAATAGCTGAGAAATGAAGGTACACCCTTTGCACTGCAAGTGGCTAGACCTTCGCGTGGCTTAAAGGACCACGTAAAATGACGGTCCAGTCTCCAATTGGAGAAGGAAAAACAGGGCGCTCTCCATTCAACCCAAAATTCCGGAAATTTCGGTTGGTACATCAAATGGAACGGATCATTTCGATTTGGTCCGACCGAAATATTCGAGACCAGCTTTGAGGGCGGTCCACTTTGACTGGTCCTGTTATCTCGGTCGGTAGGACCAAAATGTCCCTTTCCATTTGACAAAATTGTTGTTCCCAGTACCGCTCATTTTGCTCTATCCTACTTACAACAAAAATAACGAAACACGCGGTGGCTTGGGTCGGGTTTGTGTAACCGGAATGTACA